CCCCGCCGGGGCCCCGCCGCCGCCGCACGCCCTTGTCCCCGCTGCCTGCGGGCCGGGACACGGGCCTGACAAGGCGACGCCAGTGGCACGGGCAGCCCGAGGCAGTGTCCATCCCAAAAACACCCCAGAGCCCCACAGCACCCCATGGCACCCGGGGATGGCATGGCAGGGTCCACAGCAGGCACCAGTGGTGGGGTCGGGGGGTGTTCAGAGAAGTTTCCACTCCTAAAACTCCCTACAGCACCCAGGGCAGGGACAAGGAGAGGGTCCAGGAATTTCCATGTTAACATCCAATCCCCAGAGCTCCACACAGCACCCAGGACAGGGACAGGGAGAGGGTCCAGGGGTTCCCAGGATAACATCCAATCCCCAAAACTCCCCACAGCACCCAGGGCAGGCACAGGGAGAGGGTCCAGGGGTTCCCAGGATAACATCCAATCCCCGAAATTCCTCACAACACCCAGGACAGGGACAGGGAGAGGGTCCAGGAATTTCCATGTTAACATCCAACCCCCAGAGCTCCACACAGCACCCAGGACAGGGACAGGAGAGGGTCCAGGGGTTCTCAGGATAACATCCAACCCCCAGAGCTCCACACAGCACCCAGGGCAGGGACAAGGAGAGGATCCAGGAGTTCCCAGGATAACATCCAATCCCCAAAACTCCCCATAGCACCCAGGGCAGGGACAGGGGGAGGGTCCAGCAGTTCCCAGGATAACATCCAATCCCCAAAACTCCCCACAACACCCGGGGCAGGCACAGGGAGAGGGTCCAGCAGTTCCTAGGATAACATCCAACCCCCAGAGCTCCACACAGCACCCAGGGCAGGCACAGGGAGAGGGTCCAGGGATTCCCAGGATAACATCCAATCCCCAAAACTCCCCACAGCACCCAGGGCAGGGACAGGGAGAGGGTGCAGGGGTTCCCAGGATAACATCCAATCCCCAAAACCCCACAGCACCCAGGGCAGGCACAGGGAGAGGGTCCAGGGGTTCCCAGGATAACATCCAACCCCCAGAGCTCCACACAGCACCCAGGGCAGGGACAGGGGGAAGGTCCAGGATAACATCCAATCCCCAAAACTCCCCATAGCACCCAGGACAGGGACAAGGAGAGGGTCCAGCAGTTTCCATGTTAATATCCAATCCCCCAAACTCCCCATAGTACCCAGGGCAGGCACAGGGAGAGGGTCCAGGGGTTCCCAGGATAACATCCAATCCCCAAAACTTCCCACAGCACCCAGGACAGGGACAAGGAGAAGGTCCAGGGGTTCCCAGGATAACATCCCACCTCCAAAACTCCCCAAAACACCCACGGCAGGGACAAGGAGAGGGTCCAGGGGTTCCCAGGATAACATCCAACCCCCAGAGCTCCACACAGCACCCAGGACAGGCACAGGGAGAGGGTCCAGGGGTTCTCAGGATAACATCCAATCCCCAAAACTCCCCA